TACTATGTTGAATAAAAGTGGTGAGAGTGGGCATCCTTGTCTTGTTCCTGATCTTAGAGAAATAGCTTTCGTCCTTTTACTGTTGATTATGATGTTAGCTATGGGTTTGTCATATATGGTTTTTATTATGTTGAGGTACATTCCTTCTATACCCATTTTGTTGAAAGTTTTTATCATGAAAGGATATTGAATTTAGTCATGTATTGAGGTAATCATATGATTTTTATCCTTTGTTTTGATAATGGGATGTGTCACATTGATTTATTTCTGGATGTTGAACCATCCTTGCAACCCTGGAATAAATCCCACTTGATCATGGTGTATGATCCTTTCCATGTATTGTTGAATTCAGTTTTCTAATATTTTGTTGAGGATTTTTGCATCTATATACATCAGGAATATTGGCCTGTAAATTTTGGGTGTGTGTGGTGTTTTTGTCTGGTGTGGCATCAGGGTGGTGGTGACCTTGTAAAGGAGTTTGGAAGCATTTCTTCCTCTATAACTTTTTGGAATAATTTGAGGGGAGATGTACTAACTCTTTAAATGTTTGGTAGAATTCACCTATGAAACTATCTGGTCATGGACTTTTGTTTTTTGGGAGTTTATAAATTATTGATTCAATTTCATTATTTGTAATCAGTCTATTCAGATTTATTTCTCCATGATTCAATCTTGAAAGGTTGTGTGTTTCTAGGAACTAATCCATTTCTTGTAGGTTTTCCAATTTGTTGGCTTATAATTGTTCATAGTAGTCTCTTATAATTCTTGTATTTTTGTGGTATCAACTATAGCTTTTCTTTCATTTCTAATTTTATTTATTTGTGTCCTCTTTCTTTTTTTTCTTGATGAGTCTGGCTAGAGGCTTATCAATTTTGTTTATCTTTTCAAAGAACCAGCTTTTAGTTTCATTGATTTTTTTCTATTGTATCTTTAGTTTCTATTTATTTCTGGTCTGATCTTTACTATTTCCTTCCTTCTAACCTTGGGTTTGCCTATTTTTTTTTCTAGTTCCTTTAGATGTCAAGTTAGATGATTTATTTGGGACTTTTCTTATTTCTTAAGGTAAGTCTGTATCACTATGAACTACTCTCTTAGAACTGCTTTTGCTGTGTCCCACAGATTTTGAAAAGTTATGTTCCTTTCCATTTGTCTCAAGGTATTTTTTAATTTCCTTTTTGTTTTCTTCATTGACCCATTAGTTGTTTAGTATCATGTTGTTTAGTGTCCATGTGTTTGTGTCTTTTCCAGTTTTCTTCATGTAATTGATTTCCAGTTTCATACCACTATGGTCAGAAAAGATGCTTGAAATTATTTCAGTTTTCTTGTATTTATTGAGACTTCTTGTATTTATTGAGACTTCTTTTGTGGCTTGACATGTGATCTATCCTGGAGAATGTTCCATGTGTTCTTCACAACAATGTGTATTCTGCTGGTTTTAGATGGAATGTTCTATATGTATCAGTTAAGTCCATCTGGTGTAATGTGTTGTTTAAGGCCAATATTTCCTTATCGATTTTCTGTCCAGATGACCTATCCACTGATGTAAGTGAATAAGCTACTGAAACCCCCTACAATAGTATATTGCTGTTGATGTCCCCCTTTATGTGTTATATTTGCTTTATATATTCAGGTACTCCTATGTTAGGTGCATAAGCATTTACAAATGTTATCTTCTCTTTGATAGAACCCATATTTCATTATGCCTTTCTTTTTGTTTTAAAGTCCATTTTGTCTGATATGAGCTATTCCAGCTTTCCCTTTATTACCATTTGCATGGAATATTTTTTTCCATCCTTCCACTTTCGCTCTGTGCATGTCTTTACATCTGAAGTGAGTCTCTTATAGGCATCAGACTCATTTTTCTATCCATTTAGCCACTCTTACGTCTTTTGCTTGGAGTATTTAGTCCATTTACATTTAAAGTAATTATTCATAGATATGTAACATTTTGTTAAATGTTGCCATTTTTGTTAACTGCTTGGGGTTGTTTTGTAACATCAATTTTAATTTAAGAAGACCTCATTATTGAGTTCTTTCTCCAAAGGTTGATAAAACAATTTTCCAGAAGAATATGCTCAATTTAAAGTTAACTCCTAAATTTACCTAAATAGCCATACAAGATTCAAGGGATATCAAGGCTATTCTTCGGGTTATTTTTTAATATATAGTGAAACTGTGGCCCGGGGAAGTCAGGTGACTTTCCCAAGGCTATACAACAAAGTGGAATATCTCATACAAAACCTCTGTTTACATGTTTTGTTTAAGGAAAGATATTTGATCTTAACAGTACAAAATGTTACTTGTTTTGTTCTGTGGTGATGAAGCATAGTACATGAGCCTCCTGCCATATCTCCACCCACTTTGGCTAAAGTTTTACTAAGCAATTAAAGAAACTCACAGCAATTATACACTAACATTTAAAATGTGATTTGGAGAACTTTCTAAAAGATTATTATGAGCAAACCATGGTACCATGTGTTCAAACAAATGAGATTTTCTTGCAAGAGTTTTGTCTTCATCAACCTTCATCAAAGTTGAGTATGAATAAAGACATGAGATGTCCCAAGACACAAGGAAAGAAATCAGCAGCAATGTAAACTGGGTTCTCTTTGTGTTATACTTAGGGAGAAGGGAAAAGTTTTCTTCTTCTTTCTTATGATATAGCAGAATGGTTAAGAACCAAGTATTAAAGTTTTTCCTCCCAACATCAGGCATAAACAGTAACTGAGAAACACCTATGTTGCAGAGATACAGAGGTGAATGAGACAGCCCATGCCCTGACCACACAGAGCTTATATTCTACCACAGGCATCAAAGAGGTCTGCACTGAGTAGCACTTTGTTGCATACTAGTGCAAGACTATATTTCACTGGGCTTCAACTTTCCTACATGTCTAATGAAATTAATACTAGTTACATGGAGACATGTAGTTTCAATCATGAAAAGAGACAATACATGAAAAGTGAAAAATACGAAGTTAGAAATATGGTAACCTATCAATAAAGATGGATTTCTATTACAAATTTCCTTTGTTTTAGGGACCATCTTACAGGGACCCTCTTTCTTTTTTTTCCTCAACCGGGCTATATGATCTTTTAAAAAGACATTTTATATTAGGATTTTCCTCTTAGTCAAAAAGAGCATAGTGATTATAACTGAAGTAGGCACCAAATATCCAGTGATGAGCTGACCAACTGACTCACTGAATGAAAGGCTATTATTATTGTATATTTTTTATTAGTAGTCAATATTTACCTTTCATCTCTTTTGAGACTTTTCATTGGTAAGTTTAATAGCCACATTAGTTGTGAACTAAAACATAATCTCTTCCCAAAAGATGACATACTCCTTAAGTATTTTAAATGATATATTTTTATCTCTAAAGAGCAAAATTTTTAAAAATACAGAATAATGCCAAAATCACAGGCAATAAAAGAAAAAGAAGATAAATTGGACTTCATCAAAATTGAAAACTTTTGTGCATCTAAAGGCACTATCAACAAAGTGAAAGACAACCCACAGAATAGGCAAAATATTTGCAAATCATATATCTGACAAAGGATTGATATCTATAATACATAAAGAACTAAAACTCAACAGGAACAAAAAAATAAACAACCTGATTAAAAATGGGCAAAAGAGGGGCACCTGGGTGGCTCAGTCGTTAAAGCATCTGCCTTCGGCTCAGGTCATGATCCCGGGGTCCTGGGATCGAGCCCCACATCTGGCTGCCGGCTCAGTGGGAAGTCTGCTTCTCCCTCTCTCACTCCCCCTGCTTGTGTTCCCTCTCTTGCTGTCTCTCTCTGTCAAATAAATAAAAAAATAAAATCTTAAAATAAAATAAAAAAATGAAAATGGGCAAAAGACTTGAATGGATATTTCTCCAAAGACGATATACAGATGGCCAATAAGTATATAAAAAGATGCTCAACATCACTAATCATTAGGGAAATGGAAATCAAAACCACAATGAAACACCAATTCACACTCATTAGGATGGCTATCATAAGAAAATAAAAACAGAAAGCCACAAATGTTGGAAAGGATGTGGAGAAATTGGAACTATTGTGCATTGCTGGTAGATGCAGATGCTGTAGAAAACTATGGCAGTTCCTCAGAAAAAAATTAAACACAGAATTACTATTACGATCCAATAATTCCACTTCTGAGAAAATACCCAAAAGAATTGGAAGCGGGGACTCAAACAGATATTTGTACACCCATATTCATAATAGCATTTATCACAGTAGTCAAAACATAGAAACAACCAAAATGTCCATCAATGGATAAATGGATAAACAAAATGTGGTATATACATACAATAGGATATTATTCAGCCTTAAAAAGGAAGGCAATTCTGGCACATGCTAAACATGAATGAACCTTGGAAACATTATGCTAAGTGAAATAAGCCAAAAGGACAGATATATGATTCCATTTACATGAGTAATTGGAATGTAGAATAATCAATTTCATAAAGAAAAAAGGTAGAATGTTGGCTCCCAAGGTTTAAGGGAAGGGGGAATGAGGAGTTACTGTTTAAGGTCTATAAACTTCAGTTTGAGATGCTGTAAAATTTCTGGAGATGGATAGTGGTAATGGTTGCACAACACTATGAATGTAATTAATTCCACAGAACTGTACACTTAAAAATGGTTCAAATAGTAAATTTGTCATGTATATTTTACCATAACTAAAAAATCATAAAAGTTAAAAAGACAAATATCCAGAAAAATTCTCTTTTGAATATTAAAATAACAGGTAGATTGATGAAGAATGAAAATGAGCTCTTAGGGGCGCCTGGGTGGTTCAGTCAGTTAAGCGTCTGCCTTCGGCTCAGGTCATGATCCCAGGGTCCTGGGATTGAGCCCCTCATTGGGCTCCTTGTTCAGTGGGGAGCCTGCTTCCCCCCTCCCTCTGCCTGCCACTCCCCCTGCTTGTGCTTTCTCTCTCTGTCAAATGAATACATAAGACCTTAAAAAAAGAAAAGAAACGGCTCTCTGGGCTCAGACATAGTTTGCGGCGGTATGGCTAAACGCACCAAGAAGGTCGGAATCGTGGGTAAATACGGGACCCGTTATGGTGCCTCCCTCAGGAAAATGGTGAAGAAGATTGAAATAAGCCAGCACGCCAAGTACACTTGCTCCTTCTGTGGCAAAACAAAGATGAAAAGACGAGCTGTGGGGATCTGGCATTGTGGCTCCTGCATGAAAACCATCGCTGGTGGCGCTTGGACCTACAACACCACTTCTGCTGTCACAGTAAAGTCTGCTATCAGAAGACTGAAGGAATTGAAAGACCAGTAGAAGCTTCACCATTTGAAACATTACTAGCCTATAATAAATGGGTTAATTTATGTAACACAATTACTTTGGCTTGTTGTTAAATTTATTAATTAGATCTTTCAATTTGTGTTGCATTAGTTTTGCTTTCTCAAAGGCCTTGGAAATTAAAGAGTCCTAATTTTTATTGGAAAAGCGTGCTGAGATTGGGTTTTCCTAATACAGCTTTTTTTTTCCTGTAGTCAAATGATAGATACAAGAATATAAGTCTTAGAGGTTGGAAAAAAAAAAAAAAGAAAAAAGAAAAGAAACGAAAAGAAAATGAGCTCTTATGTAATATCAATGTATTAATGATGATGGAGTTCTAAAAACTTTTGACAAAATTACCTGAATAGAAGACTGCTCATTTCCTTAAAAAAATTCATTTTTTAAACTTCTAAATACTTTAGCCATTTCAAAACACATTATTCTAAGCATTAAGGGAGAAATATTTCTTCGGACCATTCAGTGACCTGTTTGTAATGTCTATATACTTTTTCTGTTACAAAGGTCATTCTTCTACTTAAACCAAATGTCTCACATTGCAATTTAATCTCATGTCTTCTTCTTCAATGTCTAGTGGATTTGTTGTACTTGATTTATTAAAGAAGATTCAATTTCCAAGATAAAAAAATGTGGTAATTAAACCATCTTTAAGGAAGCGATTTTCATCTTAGATTCACACCAACTTTCATTTTCTTCACAGGGCAGGAAACAATGACTGGAATAGAGCCAAAGCGAATTCCTGAGATTGAAGCTTTTCTATCACCAAGCTTTGGCTGCATCACAGTCACAGTGGTTTGGGGGATCCCTGTGATGTTACCAAAATGACAAGGACCATCTGCTCCCAGTCCACACTCCCAGCCTGGTAGAGAGCTATATTTCTTGGTTGCATTTAATTAAGGCATAGGCTTAGTTTTCTGTGACCAATCTGTTTTATATTTAACTATAACTTGCTTTCTTCCTTTCTTTCTTAAAAGATTTTAAGAATTGTGAAATTTAAATATACATATTTTGTAAGTTTTCCTTTCAGAATGCTCAATTGCAAAGTATGTCTAATAGAAGCAAATCAGTATCTGATCAAATATTTGCATTATCTGAAAACTAAAATAAATATTCAATGCAGAACTAGAGGTTGAGACTTTTCTATTCTTATCTAACTCCTCATTCCCTCAAGTAATTACATTAGACTAAAATTTACAAAAAGAAAAAGCATAAGGAAATCAGTTATCTTGTTCAGGTAACTTCATATTTTGATTCATGAAAGAGAATATAAAACTATTCACAAATCTATCTTTTAGCAAGGAGATAATTCTGTTCATACTTGGGTTATCATCACCCGTTCTTCTTAGTGAAAATCATTATTTTGACCTTCATTTCTTTAATTCAATAAAAATTGACCTAAGAAATTAGAAATAACTAGCCAAAATCTGTGAAAAATAAGCTCAGTGGTTCTGACAGAGGTGGAATAGCATCTTTGTCTACTGGCTTTAAATTTATATAGAAGGCCCCATGGTATTTGAATTTAAACAGAACTTTGCACGTTAGGTAGACAGACATACAGGCAGAGACTAGTTGGGGACAGGGCTGACCACTTCCCAGCCTTGTCGCCTTGGATGTCAGCTCTACTGCATGGTGCTACAACTCCAAGAAAAGACAGTCATTTTTGTAACACTTAGGAAAGTTATGTTGGTTGAAGAGCAGGGGGTTAGATCACAGAATTAACTGAGAAGTACTACAATTTAATCTTCCATTCATCCAGACACTGGACAAGGCACTGGGGGTAACAAAATATATAATCAAGTCAGGGCACCCGTTACTCACAGCTCCAAAGGAACTTCCAAATCTGTGATTCTGAGCTGTGAGGCTTGCCCTGAGCTCACCTTCCCCTGGTACTGCCCTGATAGTACTCCCTCATCTCACATCTTAGTTCCCCGTGCCCCCCTCACTGGGCTCCATGTTCTTCTTCATAAGTGCTAAGCACACCTCTCCCTCGGGACATTTGCACTGCTGTTTCCTTGTCTAAAAGACCTACCTGCAGATATTATCTTTATTTCACTCAGGGCTCTGCTCAAATACCACCTTTGCCTTCAGGCCTTCCAGGCAACAACTATCCGCATTTGGAGACTTCTTTTTCCTACACAGGTCACCCCTCAGCCTGCTTTATCTCCATAGTATTTATCCCTACCTCATGTACCATAAATCTATTTGTTCACTGATTTATTGTTTGTCTCTCCCTGAGAGTCCATGAAGGCAGGGACTTTGTTTTGTTTGATGCTGTATTCCCACAGATTTAGAACAGTGTCTGAAATGTAGAAATAAAAAAGTCATTGTTTGGGGGAATGAGTGAATGAATGAAGACATAATTCCTGTGGGGAAGACAAACACATCAAAATAATTGGAGCACACAGTCCAAATCCTTCTGTACGGAGTCCAGAGAAAAAACTCCCCAGACAAGTGACATTTGAGAGGTACCTTGAAGATAAAGAGATAGGTGTTAGGCAGAAAAGGAGGCAAAAAGAGCATTATATTGCAGGACGGGAAACAGGAAGGCACAGAGTTACAACACTGTTAGGTTCAAGGGAAGGTGGAACATAAAGTGTTTCATACACTATGTGGTATCAAGTGGAGAAATTACAACATCCTAACAGCAGGCACCTAATTCATCACAGGAAGTCAGGCTCCTGGCACACTCAAGTTGGGTAATTTGAGGAGAGTTAACAGATGATTTACAAAGGTGGATCAGGGTTTAAAGACACCAAAAAGGGGTAACACTGCTCCCTGGGAACCCTTTGTCAGCCCTAGGCCTGAAGTGGAAATAGAAGAATGGCCAGACCCAGAGAAGGCATTTCAGAAGAGACAGAGCCCACCCTGGGATCTGCCCAGATGCCACTGGGGAAAGGTGTGCCTAGACCTCCCCTTCCTCCAGTCTCCCATCCTCTTCAGGGCCTGCCACTAGCTGAATCTAACTGGAAGTCTAAGACGGGAAACTTTTGTTGATGTGGTCCACAGGTTTCCTGAGCCACAGAGCAGGACAGAGAAAATTCTCAGGGACCATGAGAAGATATCCAGCACAGAACTCTCTTTGGTGGGAAAAATTCTTCATGGAGCACCTTTAGATGGATGGTGAGACCCCAAAGTTATGCCCAGGCAACCAAAAACGTTCATCATTAATGCCTGCACAGGCAGCAATGAGGGACGTTTGTTTTACCTCAAAGGCAAAGGGGAGAATGTGAGGAGAGAACAGAGAAGTGCAAGGGAGAGAACCCTTGTGTCTACTGTAAACAGTGTATGTAGTTTCTCCTCAAGGATCACAGACCTTCAGCAGCCTGCACATTCCTGAGCAAATCCATGTTTATTTTTTAAGTAGATTATCTTTATTATTACTATTATTATTATTATTATTATTATTAGTGTGTGTGTGTGTATGTGTGAGATCTCATAAAGAAACTAGGTTTCACGCACGGGACAACAGACCCTAGAATTCCATAAATCTTTTAGGGCTGTTAGTTTTCCACAGGCTATAAAATTGCCAAGTTTTGTCCAATTTTACCAAGTTTTGGTTTCAAAGGGTTGAAATTTTGTAACTTTAAGTTGCAACTTAAAATTACTAAGAAGTGTGGATTTTTTTTTTCTCCAAACAATGGTCAAAATATGGAGGAATTAAGTGACCACTTAAGAGGTTGTGAAAATAGGTTAGGCAAGAAAGACAATGTCCCCACTTATGACAAAGCCACTAAAAATGCTCTGAGCTGTTCTTGAAAATGTTTGGTTCTACACTTAGGCCATGAATATCATCCTTAATAAATCACTCTGGGCCTGGGTTCACATATACTTAGACTTTATGCTGTTTCATTTAACATCCACCGTCTGTTCAACTGCTGCTAATCACTTCCTCTGTGCATTTTCTGAGGGATTTTTCCCTCTCGAGTTTATTTTAAATAGAGGTAATAACTTCTCCTTTCTCTCCCATGCAATGTAACACTCTGGTTCTTCTAGAGCCCCTGTCTTTCATATACACTCCTTACCATCTGTTATTTTCATGAATTAATGATTCTAACTAGCAAATGATGATTTCATCTTACTAGTTTAAAGGAAAATTTAAAGTCTCTGTTATGTTATACTGGAAGACAGAAAGATAATTTTTTAAAAACACTAAATGGTGGGGCACCTGGGTGGCTCAGTTAGTTAAGTGTCTGCCTTCAGGTCAGGTCATGATCCCAGGGGCCTGGGATTGAGCCCCCACATCGGGCTCTCTGCTCATCGGGGGGAGTGGGGTCTGCTTCTTCCTCTGCCTCTGCACCCCCCCACTTGTGCTCTCTCTCTCTCTCTCTCTGTCTCTGTCTCTGTCTCAAATAAATAAATAAACCTTAAAAAAAATAACTAAATGGCATTCCTTTTTTTTCTTTTAGAAAAAAAGAATACTTCAGGAAAACAAATGTTGATTTTTCATTAATTCCTTATTTTCAACTAAGACCAAAATAGGGTTCTGGGCTCAAACATGGCAAATTTGAGCATTCTGAAAAGGCCAGAGCTTTCATAATACCATCAACATAACCAAAAGTCATTGTATATAACCACCTACTGACCCACATGCTTATCTGAAAAGGCATGACTTCAAAGGAATGTTGAAATTTAAAAGACCATTGTCCTTGGTAGAGACACTAACTTCCTAGAATTCAATGGTCCTGTTTCCTGTAATTTTCATCTTTGGGAAAACCATGATTTCTATGAGATGTGACATTTATTTATGGCATTTTTTTAAATTATCTAACATGAGCCATTTTCTAATACTTACATAAGAATAAAGTTATTCTTTATTTTTGAGCCACAGATAAAATTCATCCACAAACACTCCCACATTTATTAACTCAAAGAAATAAAACACACTTTCATGTACTTTAATATACCCTATGACTATAAGAATAGTTATTTTAATAGCATGATCTTTCATCAATTTTTAAAAATTTTTGATATAACTGGTTAAAACATTGTTGGACTTTGTTTTGTGGTACACTGTAAAAGCACTGAACAAAATCCCAATGTATAAAACTTTAGTCATTGCATAGACACCATGCTCACACCCAAATAATATTATTTTTTAGAATATGTGCACTTGGGATTGCTTGAACCAATTTTTATAAATTATCAAACAG